TCTCCAAGCCCACCTGGTGCTGGGTTTTTGTTTTCAAAGACCTTCGCTCGACCTTTGCGAGCGAGCACCCTTGAAAAGCCCGCCTGACCCCTGGCCTCGTGGCGACCCCGCCTCAAGCATCTGGCAAAGCCCCCACCGCTGGGAAGGAGCAGCAGCGCTCCCCCGAGCCGAGAACCGGCTTCACGCTGGAGCGACCCTGGGCAAGAGCAACCTTTGGTGCGCGGCTTTGGGGGGGCCGCGGGGGAGCCGAGGGGCAACCCAAACGAGCAAGCCGCTGCTGCCTCAATGCTGCCGCCCAACTCAAACCAGCTCAGAATCGCTCCCCCGGACCGTCTGAAGCCGTGGCGAAGAGAAACCTCCAGGAGGGTCTAAAAAGGCCGAAGAGCGCTGGGGAATGCCGCCGTTGTCTCGTCCGGCCCTCCTCCGAAGAAGCCCACTCCGGCGAGAGGCCACTCGCACGCGCAGCCGAGAATGCCAGACATCCGACGATGTGATCTTGCCGGCGCTCGGCCCCAGAGCCCCCGACCCCATCCCAAGGGGTAGTTTTTCGTCCCGGATCCGACTTCGACTCTCCGGGGGCCCGATGCAGAGCCCCAAAGGCCGAAACCCAGGAAAATCCGCCGGCTGAGAGGATCACATCGTCGGAGATCTGGGAGGCGGCTACACTTCGGTCGGGCGTGTCCTCCCACAGGCGGACTTTGGACGAGAAACGAACAGAGACACCGAACATGCAAACAAATTGTCAAAGGTAGTCAAAAGATCGTCACCAGAGTATTTTTGGACTATTTTGGAGTATTCCTCCTGTAGAGGGGCGGGCCCGACTTCAGGCTGCACGCGAGAGTGGCCCTTGGCAAGCGTTAAGTCGGGCGCGTCCCCCTACGGGGGGGGATTCTGGGCGAACAAAAAATATATCCAAAACAAAATACCTCCCCAAAAACTCAAAAATAAGCAAACAATCGTCACCCGAGCATCTTTTGACTAGTCCTCCTGTAGGAGGGACAGGCCCGACTGCAGGCCGCACGCGAGAGTGGCCCTGGGCAGGCGCGACCTCCGGCGCGAGGGGCTCTCGGGGGGCCGCGGGGGAGGGGGGGAGCAGGCCCGAGCGCGCAGGACGCGGCTCTCGCGCTGCACTCGGCGATCGGGGCACACAGCTCAATAGACACAAATAGCAGGATCCCCAATCTTTCCCTATGTTTTCTGGGTTTTCGCCTTCCCCCCCACTTCCCATCTTGTCCCGTATTTTCGGGGGAGTCGAGGGTTCATTGTGTCTGTGTGTTTCTTTCCCTCCTGAAGTGGTCCCGCACCAATCGGCGGTGGACAAACCTCCCTTTAGTAAACCTCCCCTTGCGGCCTAGGACCGAAACCGACGGACCTGGACCCGCGAAGAAGGACGGCCGCGACGCCCTCTCGCGAACCGAAAACGGCCAATTCTTTAATCGACGTGTCAGGGTAGGAGGTCTATATACCTCCGAACCGAAAGTCCATCTTACGTGTCGCTGCACCGGCCTTGCAAGGATCTCTGCTACTGCAAAACCCCGAAACGGCGAGGGAAAAACGAAATTAATTTCGCGCGGATTTTTGTTCGTCTTCCTTTCTGGCCAAAAATATCCGCATGAAATTCACCTCGAAATCCGGAACGAGATTCTCCAGGACACTCCGGGCCCACCCTATCGTTTTCCAAACGAAATCCGCTCTACGATGTTGGCGCCATGAAATCGTACGTGTAGTCGATGGGAGAGATCAGCGCCCCTCTAACAGGGACTCCACTAACGGGTACTTGGCCAGCGGCCCGGCGAACCCAACGCTCCCCGATGTGGGCGACGCTGCAGTGCCAGAAGGAGGCCTAAAAAAGTGGCAACTTTCGGCAATTTTCCACAGCACCCTGAGTATCGTTCTACCGATCCCCATCCCCAGCGGCGTGGCCTGGGCCCCCCTGGCCGATTTACCCCCCCTAGATAAGGGATATAGGCCGTTCCTTTCGGGTCTCAAGGGGTGTATCCCTAACTGGGGCGGTAATCTAGTGGGGGCCTCGAAGGGGATGGGGATGGGGATGGGGATCGGATAAACGATACTGGCACCCGTTAGTGAGTGCGATGGGGATGGGGATGGGGATGGGGATGTTGTTCGAACGGTGCCGCTGATGGGCGAGCGCGGCGAGGGCGCCGGAGCTCCCTCTGGTGACCGGTGGACCGCCGAGAGCATGCGCCGGCGAGGACCGTCGGCGGCAGCGGCCGCCCACGCCTGCCCGAAGGCACAACCGCCGCATCTCATAAGACATGCCATACCTCGGGGTCCACCAAAGGGGGGGGACGCTGAGGGGGGGGTTAGTTCGATCCGCTGGTGCATCGAGTTTCCGAAAAGCGATGCCCCCCGCGCGCCTCGATTGTCGACGCCTCTCGGGTTCCGGCGGCGGCGGAGACCTCGTTTTGCATAGTTTTTCTGCGGTCGGATGCGCCGACGGACCGAACTCACCCCCCCCCCTGTGGCCCCCCCCCTTGGCGAGAACCCGACATACATGATGCGGCAGCGAACTAGACTTCCAACGTATGGACAACCATGCAGACCCAGACCCACTCGAATCATGAGCAAAAAAACACGATGGAAGGTGTTCCGCTATTTTCAAACTCTTACTGGGCCTCGTGACCGTCAAACACGACTCAACACACGACCTCCAATTCGAGAAGGGGATGGGCTACAGAATTGATTCACCCCAATATTGTTTTTTTCTGTCGAATCCGCAAAAAATGCGTTGCATGCTCCGTAGATCTACAGAGCAATTGATCATTCTTCGTTGATTCGACGGGCAAGTCAATTTTGGAGTAGATCAATCATGTAGTCGATCCCCTACTCGACAAACGCATGGACAACAATGAGGACGGCGCTTTCTTGTAGTCCTCGGCTGCGCAGGGGCCCTCCCCGGGCGCTGGGACCCGAGCGGAGACGACCCAGGACGAACAACCGGCCGCAAGGAAGTGGTCCAGAGCTCCAGGCTCTCCATCGCTCGGACGTCCATTCCCTGTGTTTTTTTCGGTTTCGTGCGTGGTTATTTCGCCAAATGATCAAGGATGCTCCTCGATGGTCCTCGCCGAAGGAAAAATGCACACGTCCGAGCGATGCCGAGCCAGGGACCCCGCACTGGAGGTCTTGGCCTCCCTCGGGGGGCCCGCTTCCTTCGTGCCAGCCAACCCAGGCCCCCGACGCCAAGATTTTTCCATAACCTGGACCCCCAGAGGTCTCGATCCATCCCCCGGGACTGGTTCTTCACCCAGAATCGGTTTCTGACAGTCCCGAGGCCCGGTCAGGGCCCCTGGAGGCCGAACATACAGAAGGGCTGCTGAAACAAGGAACGCTAGGTAAGGAACGAAGCCCCTTTTTGGCGCCAGCAGCGCCTGGGTACATGAGGAGGGCTAGAGGAACAGGCACAGAAGGACCTCAGGAAGAGCGAGCCCCTTCCGAATCCAAACTGTTCCCTATTCCAGCGTCTTGGCTGTAGCGCAAAACCTCCCGTCGCGATCCTCTCCTCAAAACCTCCCCCCGGAAGCCGAGCATCCCTGAGATCCGACGTCTCGGAACAAATGGAATATCGTGAACAATCACGACTGGAGCCCTAGACCCAATCTTTTTAGCCGTTTTCCGAGTCGGATCAATCTGTGAGGGTCCTTGGACCTGGACTTGGGCGAGACCGCCCGGCTAGAAACAATTGAGACGCCAGGACCACAGGGATAGCGTTAAGTCGGGCGTGTCCCTCTACAGCAGGAACATTCAAAAAGAGTGAAACATACTCTGGGGACGATCTTTTGAATATTTCTGAACTCTTTTTGATTTTGTGAGGGCATCTTTAAATTTTTCGCCCAAGATCCGCCAGCAAGGGGACACGCCCGACCTAGGGATAGCGCAAGACCTCCTGCCGTGATTCCTCCGTGGCCCGAGGGCGACTGGCTATGCAGGGCGCCGCCGACCCCCCCCGCGTCCCCAGGCAGGCGGCTGCGCCAATCTTTCCGCCGCGTGGGCCCCGGAAGTCTGGGCCACTTCCCCTGGCGACTCTGGGCTTTGTCACAAGCGTGGGGGGGTAGCCCCCCGACGGGGGGGGTCAACCTCGCCTCGTCGTCGCGCCGCGCCGGGGGGTCGAAGCGCCTTCGGCGCGCGGTGGCTCCCCGCGACGGGGGACGGTGTGGGGCTGCCGGCGGGGGTGACGCCGCGTTGACGACCCCCCGACGCGTGATAAGACACTCGGAGTACCTACCAAGCCACCTTAACACAACCCGAAGTCACCGTTGTGCTCGTCGATATCCGGGGGGGGAGGGAGGCACTCCAGAACATCGAGGAAACACGATCGAACCCGGACACCCCCCCAACTCTAAATTTGGGGCGGTCTCGTCTCTTCGGGTTGGGTGGGGCTTCTCTTCCTAAGTAATGATCCCTGGGGCCATTCTTTCCGTCCTGGGCCGTTCTTGGACGCTCTCGAGGTCCGGCGGGGGCCCCCGGAGGCCGAGAGCGGCCAACGACCGTCCGCTCCAATTTTTTCTGTCGGAGCGTCGCATCTCGGGGAGCGTTCGGCTGCACGCCAGGGTGACCCGTGGCCCTGGGCAAGAGTGTGACCGTGGGTGCGCGGACCAAGGAGGCGCAGGGTGGCCAACTCCAAGCGCGCAGGCATCCCCTACTGTGTCGCAGCACGCTCAGCGGTCGGGGGGACCCCGAGGAGCACGCACCAGAGGTCACCCTGGGCCAAGGGTCACTCTTGCGTGTGCCCGTCGGTGGGAAGAGGTACATAAAAACATGAAGCAGGAAGGCGGATCGAGTAGATTGGGCTGAGGCCCTCCCAGAGAATGACGAGACACGGCAGAAGCATCTCGACCCTTGAAGTATGTAGGAAGGCGCTTCAAGCATACATTGGGATCAGGGAGTCCAGAAATACCAACTTTCGACGACCGACGTGACGTCGAGGCGTCCCCGGCGCCCCGGCGCGCCCGCGAGGCGCCCGGCGCCCCGCCCGCGGGCCCTCACGCGCCGCCCTGGTGCAGGCGCTGGCCGGCGGCCCGCCCGGCGGCGTCCAGGAGCAGGAAGGCGGCGCGCGCGGCCGCCTGCCGCCCCCCCCCCCTCTGGCCCCTGCTGTTGTTGTTGTTGTTGTTGTTGTTGTTGCTGCTGCTGCTGCTGCTGCTGCTGCTGCTGCTGCTGCTGCTGCTGCTGCTGGTGTCGCTGTTGCTGCTGCTGCTACTGTTGTTGCTGTTGTTGTTGTGGTTGTTGTTGTGGTTGTTGTTGTGGTTGTTGTTGTTGTTGTTGTTGTCGTTGTTGTTGTTGCTTGTGATGTTGAACTGTCATTTCTGAAGAATAATTATTGTTGATCCCACACCGGTGCATACTGGTTTTTCTTACTCAAGGTGTGCCCCTCGACGCTCGCACCCTGTTTTTTAATCAAGGAAAGTCTTGAGGCTCAAACTGGGCCCCTGGCCCCTGGGTTACAACAACAACGGCTCCCGCCTGAGACTTCCTCACAATTGAACCATGACCCCGCTCCCGCCCGAGGCTTCCTCGCATTTTATTCAGGAATCGCGCTCTCGCTTGGGACTTCCTTAACATTTATTCAGGAAGCGCTCTCCAGGCGCTATGGAGTCGCGCTCTCGCTGGAGGCTTGCTTGCAATTTACTGAAGAATAACGCCCTTGCGTTGGAATTTCCGGCGATTTACTTAAGCACCGCGCTCCCGACACCCAGGCACCCAAGAGTCGCGCTCACGCCTAAGACTCCCTCACAGATTACCCAGGAATCGGGATCTCGCTGCCCTTCGTGGCCCCGTTGCAGCCCTTCGTGGCCCCCTCGCTTTGTTTCGTGGCCCCGTTGCAGCCCTTCGTGGCCCCCTCGCTGCCCTTCGTGGCCCCGTTGCAGCCCCTCGTGGCCTCCTCGCTGCCCTTCGTGGCTCCGTTGCAGCCCCTCGTGGCCCCCTCGCTTTGTTTCGTGGCCCCGTTGCAACCCTTCGTGGCCCCCTCGCTGCCCTTCGTGGCCCCGTCGCAGCCCTTCGTGGCCCCGTTGCAGCCCTTCGTGGCCCCTTCGCTGCCCTTCGTGGCCCCGTTGCATCTCTTCGTGGCCCCCTCGCTGCCCTTCGTGGCCCCATATATGTATGCCCTTTGTGGCCCCCGCTCGTTCGCGCCCGTGGTGGCTCCATATGCATGCCTTTCGTGGCGCCGCTGTCGCCCTTCGCGGCCCCCTCGCTGCCCTTCGTGGCCGCGTTGCTGCCCTCAGTGGCCCCGTCCTTGCCCTCCGCGGCCCAATATACGTATGCCCTTCGTGGCCCCCGCTCGTTCGCGCCCGTTGTGGCCCCATGTGCATGCCCTTCGTGGCCCCGCTGTCGCCGTTTGTGGCCCCCTCAGTGTCCTACGTGGCCCAGTTGCTACCCTCAATGGCCCCATCGTTGCCCTCAGTGGCCCCGCATTATCTACCTTTCGTGGCCCCCGCTCGTTCGCGCTCTTCGTGGCCCCATACGCGTTCCCTTCGTGTCCCCGCTGTCGCCCTTCGTGGCCTACTTCGTGTCCTTGTGGCCCTGCTGGCGTTCTCTCTCGCTCTCGCTTTCACTCGTCGTCATCGTCGTCGTCGTCGTCGTCGCCGTCGCCGTCGCCGTCGCCGACGTCGTCGTCGTCGTCGTCGTCGTCGTCGTCGTCGTCGTCGTCCTGGTCGCTCCCTGTCCGTCCCTCTTGGGGTCGGGTCGACGGTCCGCGGCCGCCCCCCGATCAGCGCTGCCGTTGGCCAGGCTGACGGTCCGCGGCCGCCCCGCCGTTCGCCGGGGCCGGGCCTGCAGGGAAGAAAAGTGTACCCCCCAAGAAGGGTTCGATCGAAAACGAAGAGGGCGGGTATCGATGGTTTGGGAAATACGCGTTATTGGACACACGAGCAGATAAAGGGCGAACAGTCTTAAAATGATTGTTGTTGTTGTTGCTATTGCTAATGTTGTTGTTCATGCTATTGACATTTCCATCGTTATTGTTGTTGTTGCTGTTGTTGTGGCTACTGAATTCTCAGTTCTAAAGAATATATTTTGCCATCCCCCTTCCTCGGTCATCGTTTTATTTTTCAATTGCAGTGGTTCTCCCGGGGCTCGCGCCCTGGTTTTTACAGAAGGACAGCGGCATGTCACCAAACTGCGCCCCTGGCCCCTGGTTTAAAACAACAGCGGTTCCCTCCCGATGCTTCACCACTAATTATGCAGAGGTCGCGCTCTCGCATGGGACTTCCTCGCAAGTTACTCAGACGCCGCGCCCTCGATGCTCAGGAATCACGCTGATGCTGTGGATTTCTTCACGATTTATTTGGAAATCGCGCTGTCGTTCGAAAGTTCTTCGCGATTCACGCAGGGCGCACGCTTCAGCAACCCGCCTGCTCGACCTGGCCGCTTGGGCCCGCCTTCCCGACCCGCCTGTTAGGGTCCACCCGCCCGATCTGCCCGTCTGGTTCTGCCGCGTCTTTTCTGCTCCTAGCTCCCCTCCTGCTAATCTCTCCCGTGCTCCGTCCTCCTCCCTCCGTCCCCTCCTTTCATGCGTCCTCTCTTCCCCCGCCTTCGGAGCCGCGCGAAATACGCGGTGCAGGTTGGGAATATATATACCCCCAAGGGAGTGCGGTTGAAGACGAAAAGGGTAAGCTCGCAACGCCCCGACTCGATAGTTCCTCCTTTCTCACTCGGGGCCAGGGCTCTTGCTTGCCCCCCGAAGCCGCCTTTCCAATAAAATCGGCGCTCCCGCTCGATACCTCCCTGCTTTTCACTTCAGGGCCGGCGCTCCCGCCTCAGGACCCCGCGCAAACAACGACGCCCCCGCTCGATAATTCCCCCGCTTTTATTCAGGACTCCCAAGAGGGCGTGAGGCTTCCCTAGCCCATGTTGAACCTTATTTGCTGAACAATTATTGTTGTTGAGAATCCTGAGTGCGCTTTCGCGCTCTCGCGCCTGCTCCGTGCGACCTCGCTCCCCCGCGTGTCGTGGGGCGCGGAATCGCTCTTGCTCGAGACCTTCCCGTAACTCAGGTTGGTTGGTGGAAGCCCGGGCATGGCGACAAGGGCTCCCGTTCGATATTCCGCAATTAGAGCTTGCCTCTGTTCCCCAATCAGGGCTTGCCTCCGTAGGGGTCCTAGCGGATTCATATGGTTAGATTAGGTTTGTCGCCGATTTTCGCTGCACGCCCGGGTGCCCAGGTGCCCAGGGGTGCCCGGGGCCCGGGTGCCTGGGGGGTGCCCGGGGGTGCCCGGGGGTGCCCGGGTGCCCGGGTCCCCGTGTGACCGGGTGCCCGGGCGTGCCCGGGGGTGCCCGGGGGTGCCCTATAGCGCTATAGCCTTAAGTCCTATAGCTCAATAGCCCAATAACCCCATAGCCCTACAACTCTATGGCCCTATAGGTCTGTAGCCCTATAGCTCAATAGCCCTATAGCCCCCTAGCCCTATAGGCCTGATTGGGGGTTTTCTCTGGTATCATAGGGGTCCTAGCGGCTTCATGTGGTTAAGTTAGGTTTGCCGCCGATTTTCGCTGCACGCCCGGGTGCCCGGGGGTGCCCGCGTGCCCGGGCGTGCCCGGGGGTGCCCCATAGCCCAATAGCCCAATAGCCCATATAGCCCATATAGCCCTGTAGCCTTATATCCCTGTAGCCCAATAGCCCTACAGCCACGCAACCCTAAAAAGATCATGATTGGGTTTTTTCTCCGGTCTCATTTCTCCATAGGTATTCCGAGAACCCCTGACCAGAGAGGCCCCCGAACTCAGGAGCGGTGCTCTCGCTCGAGACTTCTTCGCACTTCAGTCAGTGGCCGACAAGGAAGGAATTCCCCGAACGGGGATGCAATCAAAGACGGAATGGGCGGGCATCGAGGGTTGGGGCATACGGAATGCAAGACACGCGTGCCAGCAAGATCGAACTTGCTGGGCCTCGGGGCCGTCAGAAAACGACTCAGGGTGAAGAGCCAGTCCCGGGGAATGGGTCGAGACCTCTGGGGGTCGAGGTTGCGAACAAATCCGCCGACCCCAGAGGCGTGTGAGGAGAAGTGTGTCCTCGAGGCCCACCCTACGATAACTGAGTTCTTCGAACTCCCTTACACGATAAACCCTACCTCGAAACTCACCGAACCCCCCCTCCTCGCCTCGGACTCCCCACCCCCGAGTACTCATGACAATTCCTGCGCCGACAAGCCCAGCTCCCACGAGAGGTCAGTTCCACGTCCCAGCACCCCCACCCCACGAAAGCTCAGTTCGGGGAGCCCCCCACACGACAATTCCTCGCCCGAAACCGACCGAGACCCCCCGTCGCGCCCCCCCATTACGTCTGACACCCCCAACCTCCAGGTCTGACACCCTGTGCCTCCTGGACCCTTTGTGTGTGCTGTTTTGGCTCCCCCACCCTGCGGAAACAATCGCGGGGACCCCCCCCGCGCCCCCCCACCACGTCTGGCACCCGCACCCTCCTGGACCTTCTGTGCGTGCTGTTTTAATAGGCCCCCACACACTACCAAAACAAGCGCCGGGACCCCCACCGCGCCTTCCCACCACGTCTGACACCCCCATGTTCCTGGATCCTCTGTGTGTGCTGTTTTAGGGAGTCCCCACCCTGCAAATATTTTCAGGACCCCCACCCTACAACAACAGGCGCCGGGACCTTGACCGCGCCCCCCGACCACGTCTGACAACCCCACCCTCCTGGTCTGACACCCCGGGCCTCCTGGACCCTTTGTGCGTGCTGGTTTGGCTCCCCCACCCTACGAAAACAGGCACCGGGGCCCCCACCGCCCTCACCACGTCTGACACCCCCACCCTCTGCGTGTGCTGTTTTGGGGACCCCACGCCCTGCGCCCCCACCGCGCCTTCCCACCACGTCTGACACCCCCATCTCTTTGGAGCCTTTGCGTGTGCCGTTTTCGGGACCCTACGCCGTGCAAAAGCTAGCGGCAAGATCCCCACCGCGCTCCCCCACCACGCCCACGATTTCTCGCCCGGGACCCAGGCGCTGGGAGCCGTGGCGCCGCATCCGATCTGAATCGGCGGTGCTTACACGCAAGCCAACAGTGCCACAAGAGAGCGTGCAAGGAGACGCGATCGATCCTACGGCTGCCTGAAA